AAAGCATTCATTGTTCTACAATACAGGTAGTCCTCATTTAGCAACTGCAATTGGGACCAACAACTCTGTTAATAGCAAAGCGGTCACTAAACAAAAGCACAAATATGCTTATGATCTTACTTCAGCTTTCCTTTGCTTAAAGACTTGCAAAGGTGGCAAATGTGAAGATTAGTCATAAAGTCAAAAAAGGAGTCATTTTTAAAGTTGCGTTTTCATTTGTGTTGTAATTGTGAATGGTCAGTAAATGAGGACTACCTGCATTTAATCTTTTTTAACATCTCCACAGTGCATTTTTCCCCACTTCTCTACCAACAACAAAGACATGCAAACGTACTGTATAAGAACTGGGATTGGTTTATCTGTATGTTGCACTGGATGATAAAACAAATACAGCACATAATTTTATATTATTAGTTTGCCTAAGCAAAAAATGCAAGCAATAGTTTTCATCACACAATCAAAGTTAAGGTTATATTGAACAATGGGATCTTAATTCAATTCAACAGAAGGGAATATATGTAGTTCATATATAGGTTGAACTGTGGAGCCCTTGATGGTTGTTGTCTTGCAGATGTTTTGTCTGTAAAACTTCAATCCATTTCAGTATATTTTCCATTGGTTATCATTCCAATATAGTAACTCTTCCATTGCCCCTGACTTTGGGTTGTTTCCTGATGCCTGTATAGATAAATGCTCATTGTCCTGCATTTTTTTAGTAATAGCTCAAAGTTCTTCCCCTTGCTTCAACTTTCCTTTATCAGAACAACTTTGGGCATATAACACAGGCAGAACTGTTATGCCCAACGTATGTAAGTTTCTGCATAGGATGAAAAAAAACAGATAGATCATTTTTTATGCTATCTCATCTACAGAAAAGCAGTAAGCAGTAAGAAAGACCATTACAAAGAGCCTTCAATTACGACCATTTGTTCAGTGGCCTATCAATGTTACAATGGCACTGAACGAGAGGAACTTATGACGGATCCTTGAAATTCCATCTGTCACAGGGTCAGATGGTTACATGATAACAATTCCAATGTTCCTGTCTGGCTTTCCACAAGCAAAGTCAATGAAGAAGCCAGCAGGAAGTCAGCACTCATATGAGGTTATTGCTTAATGATCTGTACAGTTCTCACTTAAAAATGGCAACCAGGATTGCAGTAATTCCTTTCATTAAGCAGTATGGGTCACATGATGTCATGCTTTACAATCATGTTTCTTAGGAACAGCAATTGCAATTGATGTCATAAGCCAAGGACTACATGTACTTATAAACATATTTATTGCTCCTCTTCAACCATAGGACATAGGCTTTTACTGATGATTAAATTTGAAGAAAGTAATATAGTTACCAGCATTTATTGCTTTAGGGAGCCAGTTTGCTGTAGTGCTAAGGCATTGGTCTAGGAACTGGGAGACCATGAATTCTAGTCAGAGAGTGACAGAGAGACAGACAGAGAGAGAGGCCTGATCAAGCCCTTTTTGATCATTTCAATTTAAAAATTTTATTGCCTGTATGCACTTTTCTCTGATAGCATCAATTTAATTTTGGATATTTGAATACAATTTTCTATAGCTGGTTTATTAAACTGCAATAAAGGAGAGAGAGAGTGAGAGACATACATGTATCTCTAACATAACATACATATAACCCTAACTTACATATAACATGTATGTTACTAGAATAGTGAAGCAGGATTACAAAACTGATAGATTACAGAAACCTAGCAAACAAAGTGTAGATATTACAATGATTCTATCTCATTGTGTTTAAAATATCACCGTAGCAAAAGAATTATCAATTCCATCTTAAATCCATATAAGCCTAACACATTTTGCTTACCGCTTCACAGTCACACAATGTAAGCTTCTTTTGGCCTACTGTCCTTTATGTAGTCATTTTGACTAGGTAAACTGTCATCTTCAGTTTAACTAAAATTAACAGTTATGAATAGATATCTTAACAGGATTAAATGAAATCTTAAATATTCTTTAGCAATAAAGCCAATTACTTAGCAGTAGGGAGTCTCCTCATCAATTATTTCATTGAAAGAGATCCTCATTCAATGCACACAAAACCCCAAGAGGCAAAACTATACTTAAAATAGATTCATTAATTCCATACACAAGAGACAGTGTAGGATAAACTCACAAACAATGTCACCAGAGTTCATTATAATTTCATAATCAAGACATTCAATAAAGCAATGACCTTTTGCCTATGATATGAAAGTTCCTATTTAATTTTCTCTAGTAAAGGAGATATGTTACAAACCTTAACTAAAACTAGTGAAAACCCCATTGAATTACACTGCAGTACAAATACAGTTTACAATATTCCAGTTAGTAAATAAAATCCATTATTAACATTTTAGCAAAAGCCATAAAAATAAGTATGTGCCAAAAAAAACAAACCCGTAAATAGTGCTGCTACAGAAGATGTAAACCCCCTTAATGTTAATCATCTCTCCTCAAACACATCAACCTTGAGACTACAGTGCTATGTTCATACATTAGGAGTAAAATCTTCCTGAGCTTCATGAGACCTGCCTCTGGGAACACACACACACACACACACACACACACACACATATTGGACATACTTTTTTCCATCTTATGAAGAAATATATTTTTAGGTAATAACATTGAGTTATTAATAACCATTGTTGTTCCAATGTACGACGAAAGATACGATATCTCCTCTAAAGGAATTCAAAAATTAATTAAAAGACATTTATTTTCAAACCATTGGAAATAAAAACATAATTTGAGGATTGGTTTTGCCTTTCTGTAACAGGAGACATGTAAAGATAAAGCTCACAGACCGCTATGTGACTACAAAGTGATGACATAAGCATTTAGAATAAATAAGAGAAACAGAAATAGGATGCCCCCCAAAACTAGTTCAATTTTACCAAAGTTATAATTGATTTAACTACTTCATTGAAAGAGGTTGAAAGAGGTATTCAATGAAAGAGGTATTTTAGAACAAGAAGGATTCTTCTCTTCTGGATTCATTCATTCATTCATTCATTCATTCATTCATTCATTCATTCATTCATTCATTCATTCATTCAAGGTGCCACATCTTTTTCCAATTCATGGAAACCACCCTGGCTGCCTGTGCACACAAGTGCATACATAGATACTTTACTAAGGGAAAAAAATGAAGGGGCAATTCATACACACATGTGAAGTTTCCAAATTTCCAAAACAATCGTATAAGCCTGGAAATGTCATGGCTGTATATAAGCATTCCAAAGCATCTTTGATGAAACATCTGCAGAGATGTATGTTCAAGATTATATGAATCATTCGGAAGTCAGCTAAAATTGATGGAGTGGTTTAATACTTTATACAATTATGATGCATACTAGACTATATTAAGCAATTTTCCTTCTGACATTTGAAAATGAGGATAACACGTAGAAAATCATGTAAATTATCCTGATATTTTTCCATGGACATCCCCTCTTTAATATTGTAAGATAAAATGTAAAGTCCATGAACTTTCATACTTGAAGTCAGAATTTCATAGACATATCCAGTCCTTCAGGCTTAATATAACTTACAGGAATAACATTTAGGCATATGATTGAAACTTTACTGAGATGTGATCTCCAAAGCCACAGTTTAAAATAAATTGTGATGAACACAGCATTTACATTCAAACTTGAGTAATAAATAAGCATTACAATTAAAATGTAAAAGGATATAAAAATTATCTCAAAGCAGATAAACTGTCAAGTATGAAAATGTTAAAATAAATCAACAGAAGTAGAGCTTCCTATAGTAGTTAAGATTCAAAAAGAGAAATTAATTAGTTGGTATTTAATGAGATAAAATATGTACTCTAGGTCTTTTCCTCAGACTACTTTTAGGATAAGAGATTTTTTTTCCAGAAAAGATTGCACCATGTAGGCTCAGAAGGTTTTAGTTAGAGACCCCATAAACCCCATAAATGATTAGAAAATAATCATGTTAAATGTATTTTTTTAAAAATAAATGTAGGTAACATGAAACCCAGCTTAATTTTAAAGGGAAGCTGTCAATACTCCAAGTTACCTGTATAAGAAATACAAATCCTTGCTTAAAATACACTTAGTAACCATTCAAAGTTATGATGGCACTGAACAAGAGGGACTTAACAGGTCCATTTTGTTGTGGCTGTCGCAACCACATCACCACGATTCAGGCAAGTGGTTTGCAATTATGGCGCCACAGTGTCCCATGAGGACACGATTGCCATTTGCAATTTTCATTGCTGGCTTCTGACGAGTAAATTAGTGGGGAAGCTGGCAAGTCACATATAGTGATCATATAACAATAGGAGGCTGTAACCATGCAGGATTCACCTACCAATAGCAACTGAGAATGCTGGATCTGTTGCTGTAAGTTAATGCAGTCATATCACATTGCGTCTTACACCTCATCATTTAGTGATAGAGTTCCTAGTTTCAGTTAGCATTGGTAATTAAGGAGGACCACCTATTTTAGAAGTGCAATTTACCTTTCCGCAGGAGAAAAAAAAATCAACATTTTTGTAGCAGTTATTGATTCTTAATGGACTTCACAGAATGGCACCAAATAAATGTCTTTCCAATTCTATAGAATAGTTACATTTTAATGATTTTTATAATCTTACCAGATTAAACAATAAATTGCCACCTTAGCACATGTGTGACTTAAATTTTAAAAAATGAAGAGTTATTGTGAAGCCTAAAAAGATTTCCCACAGGTCTGAGATATGGTGAAATTTTATAAAAATGTATTCTGATGCACACACATTATTTGGAGATGCATATATTATATGTACAAATAATTATTTCAGCTGAACATGCTACTCATGTGAAACAGACATCTATGCCTCTAAGTAGGTTATGCATAACTAGTTCCAAGTTAAGATTTGAATTTTCACCTGTCTAAAACATGACTGTACCACACTGGTAGGGGTGCCAGACATAATTGTACTTTAAGTTAAATGTTTACATTGCTCTTACCTCCCATAGTAGCTTTAAGACCTTCGTCCATTGCAGAGCCAGTCAGAGTATCGCATACAGGCTTTGGCTTTTGTGTTTGCAAACATTCCACGGAATGCACATTTTCTATTTGACTGGTTTCTCTAGGCTGACCATTTCCAGAACAGTCTAAGGATTGAGGAAGGCCTTCATTATGCCCTATGACTTTGATTAAATCATTCCCAGGTGCTATTTTGTAATTCAAGGCTTGGGGGTCCAAGTGATTATTATGGCTACCTAGAAAACAGGGGAACTCGGGCTCATCATCTTCAGGGATAGGATTGTACCATATTTCTCCTTCATCATCTGCATCGTTATCTTCACCAAAATCTAAAGTACATTTTTGTAATGCCAAAGGTCTTGTTCCATTCCCAGCAGCATGTACAGAATTGACTCTTCCTCTAGGGTTTTCCTGTCCTAGAAATTTGGAAAAAGTCTGAGGCATTTTTGGCTCAAAGAAAGGACTGGAAGATTTCAGTACCTGGTAATTTTCTCCTGAAATTTTCTTGTAAGAGTTTCCTCTTTCCAAACTAGGTACTCTCAGAGAACTTTGATGTAACCAGTTCCGCTTCTTGGACACAGTAATGCTAGCAACCTGAGGCCTGCACTCGGAAACATCACTGGATTTCAAGTTCTTAAGTTCTCTTCTGCTCACAGAAGGTATGTAAACATTTTCGATCAGCTCTATAAAATGGAAGAGGGAATAAAAGAGTGTGTTAGATGCCATCAAGTCGTCATTATTGTTTCAGGTGCACATAGAACGTTGCGACATAAAAAAGAGCCATAAAATGACACAATGTAATCAGATTTCATCTATGAAGATAATAATAGTCCAGTTGCAAAATGGCAAAATTTATTCTGTCCGTGCAACAGCATCACGGGTAATATGATTAAATACTACGCAATAAAATGTGCTGAAAGAAATACAGCAAGCTGTTTTAAAGGTAACAGTCCAAATGAACCACAGACACCTATCAAATATAAACTACCACAGAAAAAGAACTTGAAAAGCTAGTCATCTATAAAGATGATGGCCAAATTATTACCAAAATCTTGATAATGTTTTCTCTACTGCCATCCATGCAACTTTTTAATGCTAGAAAGACTGGTTATTAAATCTCAAGTACTTCATTAAGCATGGCTTACATATTTGGTACAGAATTTACAGTATTTTTTCAGAACATGGTCAACATAATACATTGGATTCAGTCTTAAGCATGACTACCTTTATATCTATTTTAATGAGTCTATGGCAAATTTTATTTACTCTACTAAACCCAATAAATTTAGGTTTTACTCAACTGCCTGATAATATATTTCATAAGCTGTAGGATTATGTCCTCAAGATTATGTAGATTTATTTCTATTTTGTGTTTCACTTCAAGATTTAAAATAAATGCCACTAAATTGATTACACAGGCTGGAAAGGATTTTTTTTTTTTTTAAAGTAGTGAAGGGCAGGGCAATATCAACTCACAATGTTAAGAGAAACAGCACAACACATCTACCTAAAAATGCTAAAAAATGCCACGTCCACATATAAAAGACTAAATCCAAACTGGCAGGTAATTTCATTTGCTTATGGAAGGCATCAAGTTGAGAAAGGACAAGCTTGACTCAAGAGTCAGGCAATCTCTTCTTAACTTAAGAGAAACTACATTATGTATAAACTAAATTATGTAATTTGATATATTGACAGCAGTAACAGCAGTAACAGACATGATATAACCACAGTACAAATGTTACTATGGTAATCTCAGAATTTGTATCATTTTCCAAGAATACTGATAATGCCAAAAAAGAGGGGACAAACCCTTTCCCCTTCTGCTAACAACAATACATATCTGATGTCCATTGCATCCTTTAATAAATGCTCACTTAGTAAGGATGTTTTGCTTCAACCGGTAGAACAGCAATGGAACGGTCCTCGCTTTTCTGGAAGTAAGATATTCCTACCTAACAAGTCCTATTTAAGATGGAATTTTAAATAAAACTGTTCCTCCTGCTTCTAATCAAACAAATATGGGAACATATCCCTTTTAGAAATATTTAAAAATCAGTTAGTCACACAAAACATAGAAAAACAAGATATAATCACTTACAGCAGGATTAGACAACCTTTTTTGAGCCAGTGCACACATTTCTGGGCTTAATTAGGTGGGTCCCAGCTGATCTTAAAATTAAGCAGGTTCAGACCTGATTAGGACTCCAAAGGGAAACCGTAAGAAAAATCTCAAGTATTTGGTCTAGACCAGGGGAAAAAAATCTCAGAAGAAAGTACTGGCAAATCCCTTCTACCTTCTTGCCAAGAATACTGGACATGTCCACGAAATGACCAAGAATCATACTTAACAGAATTATCATGTCCTCTGGAAGGATAAGATGGCATACCTGATGGATCGTCTGTACTTTTATCTCCTTGAAAGGATAGGCAGAGAACGAACGAATGAATGTTACCCAATGAACTCTATAATTTATCAAGGACTTGAATCTGCATCTTCCAAGTTCAATATCTTAAACAAGAAATGGGGAGCTTACCTCTTGTTCAGATATTTAATTCAATGAGCTCCTTTAAGTTAACTGTAAAGTTTAAGGTTTCATGATATTACACTTACTTAAGAGAAAATTCAAGTAATAGTTAACACTATTCAATGAAAGCTAAGGCTGTTTTTAGTAATTTATAGCTCTATTCCCTTCTTCAAATTCCATTTATCAGGATGACTTTGGGCATATGATAGAGGCAAAATTATATATCCAATATATAAGTTTCTGCTTGCTGGTTTCAAGAGATGAGTTTGACATTATTTGGTCTGGGATTGATTGATTGCTCTTTCTTGTTCACTTGTATAGTAGCCAATTCCAAACTTATAATTTGAAGTACACAGTAAACAGCTTTCACAATTGTACAGTACCACTGTAAGACCCCTGCTTTAACCAGTACTCTTTACTCTTATTAAAATGACCTGATCCTTTATGATCTTGCTCACAATTGTACTGCATTGGTTTTAGGATTAAACCCATTGTTACGTCTCAAGCACAATGCCCATCTTTATTCTTCAATTTGAGAAAACATTATTTCTTATCTTCACTGTCAAGTGTAAACTCGTGGATGCTGATATTACTTTGTCTTCTTTGTATTTAAAGTTAACACAGATTCTTCACTTTCTGCTTTTATTCTCATAATAAGCTCTTCTAAGTCTCTTTTAAAGATAGAGAAATCCTTGTTTTAAAATACAATTCATTCTAAACTGAATTTGCTATCATTTAATTCCTCACTGTGCTAGTAGTTTTTATATTTTGCTTTAAACTGTAATTCCAAACAAGATGCTATAGGTCTACATGCCAAAAATCATTCACAACATAGCAAATCTTACTTCTTCAACATATCTGCTTTTCTTACTGTGCCTACTCAACTCTGTACAATTAAAAGGTACATTATAATTATATACACTATAACCTCCCTACTCCTGTAAAACAATACGTGAAATATAATAGTATTTTGCAACCAATACTTAGAATGCTTTTACTAATTATATTTTTCTGAAGAAGTGTTTTGTAATAAATCTAGGAGGATTTAAAGCAATGAAACTTTAAACCTGGTATAATCCTAAAACAGAACATAAAACAAAATGTGGCTACACATTTGAAAAGCATTTTCTACTACAGTAATTTAGTATGTACTTACATGGAAAAGTGGTAACATGAAAGAAAGAGAAACCATACCAAAATGTAACTGATTCTACATTTAACGAGAGACCACACACTGCTAAAAGGGCAAGATAAGGAATGCCTATTAATGTAATTTAGTTTTTCTTCAAACATTATGAAAAGCATAAACACCTGTAAAGAGCCTTTTCTCCTGAACACAGTAATGTTGGGGGATGGGTCCTTCTTGGATTTTCCAGCAATACCCAGAGAGAATTTATACAAAGATGTGCAAAATTCCTGAAAATTCAACATACTTTGTAGGCAGTTGTACTAGCTGAATTTCCTTTCCCTAGTCTCTTTTTCTAGCTGCTCACCTAAACAAAATTATTAACTTTATACAGAGGCTAAAGTCAGTGCAATAACCCTATAGTAAGAGCTTTAAGCACCTTTATTTGGAAGACCTTGCTGAAATCATTGGGTATTGATTCCAATTCATCTATGAAGAAAGTATGCATAATTTGGGGAGGCTAAGCAAATATTTGTATAGTCTCTCACACACACCATTAATAAAGCAATCAACTCAAGCTCAGGTAGCTTGGAAGCAATATTTTTTCACTCAAAGAAGGAATCAGAGGGTGGATATGGAACACCCATGCAGCACTTAACCGATTTTATGATTAAGCATGGTAGACTAAGCAAATGCAACTTGAATGCTTCTGAAATGTGGACAATCAACCTGATGTCCTCCAGGTATTTTGAATTTGTGAAATTCAGTGTGGGCATATAATTCTGCCCTCATCGTGTTGTGGTAAAGTGCTGGACTGCCACTAGGAAGACCCATGTTAAAGTCTACCCTTAGCTATGGAAACTCTGGGCCACTCAGTCTTGCTTAGCCCACCCTATATCACAGATTGACTGCTGTAGAAAAAAAGGGAGAAGAGAATACTATGTCACTCTGAGCTCCTGAATGAAAGACAGGAGACATATCTAACAAATGCATAAACTCCGCTAAACCTTGACTATTACCTATGCTAACTCATGGGAATTGAAGTTCAAGATACAAGGAAGCCATCAAACTGCCTAATTCTATAGTAAGATAAATATCTCTGTTTTTGAAGGCTAACGTAGCAATAGAAATCATCCTTTTTTACTACTGTTCAATTCTGTCCAATTCTCGGGCACTGCCTGGTTAAGTCCCTGCAGTTTTCTTGGAAAGGTCCTTCAAAAGTGGTTTGACATTCCTTCCTTTCTAGGGCTGAGAAAAAGTGACTGGCTCAAAGTCACCCAGTGCTTCGTTCCTAATGTGGGACTGTACCAAACTAGCTCTCAATCTACAAATCAGAAGGTATTAAAATAGAAGATGGTTATTCCTACGTTATAGGTACCTGTGATTCTGAAGAGTGGATTCTGAACACATAACTTGTTTCCATAACCATTCACACTAACCATGCATGTAAAAAGACTATGTTTAGTTATTAAAGAACAAAAATAATTTACCCGACCAGAATCATTCAATAATGCAAGTGATTGAATTAAATATTTGGTAAAGCCACATATTTCTGAGATAACCCTTCTTGCCTACTATATAGGCATGCAAAAGCAATGTGGTACAGTGCTTAAGGTATTGGGAGCATGGAGATGTAGTTTCTAGTCCTCCCTTAGGTACACAAGCTGATTGGGTGATTTGGGGTAGTCACTCTCTCTCAAACCTAGCCTATAAAATCTAAAAAAAACTGAAACAGACCAATAGATTTGGTCCATAATGTTCAATGAAGATGCTTTCATATTGTAATGAACTGATTCAGGATGATGATAAGATAGGCATGCACAATTAAAAAAAATCATTATCCCAACAAGTAATTAACCAGATTGCCATTTTAAAAATCTACAACTTCTAATTTCCGCACATAAGAGTAAACCAGGTCTGGAGCCAAGGCATAGTTAGTTAGCTCTCCCCCAATTTTTTTCCCTGCATTGTAATTTTGTCGTTAAAAGATGACAGAGAGTTCATTCTACTTTGTCCCATCTTCCTCCCTGGCCCCTTTATTAATATTTAGTGAAATTCAGGCTGAGGCTGAATTATTGTAATGCTGGGAAAAAGAAATAAACGGAATGAGACTTAGAAAGATTGCTTCACATATGGGTACTTGAATAAGTGAGTTATTAACTCACTTTAGCCACACATGCACAATTAATATACTAAGGAAGCCATTTTCTAGAAATGGCCATGCTGAGTTGGCAGCTCTTCCTAGAATATTTCACCCCTCAGAATAGACAGAATAAAATGAGGTCACAGGGCTTCACCAGACACATTTCACCAGACACACAACTTCTGCTCCTGCTTGAAAACAGGGATTTTGAAAGAGATGAGCAAAGTATTTCTATGTCACTGATATTTCCAGGAGTCTATGAAAATCAAATAGTCAATTCAGTTTTTAAAAAGTTCCTATGTGGGTATGCAAAATATCCGAAATAACCAAAACCAATTCAAATCAGTTTATCCAAATCAGCTTTTTGAACTGAATCTGCAAATCAAATATTCACACAGCCTTTATTTCAACTCCTGAAACCACTTCCCTAATTGTGTATTAAATACAGTCTAGCTGTGTTGGACTATCATGCTCATTACCCCCTCCAATTTTATTAGCTTCATTCATTTTTCAATTTACTGTCCTAAGTGTGTTGGATGGCAGAGAATTCCTAGCCACTATGGCCACTGGTCACATTTAATTACAATAAGCTCAATCTAGAGATCATTCAAATAGGGAAAGTCGAAATATCCATATTAATTTTTGAACTCATATTAATTGGGAGAAATAAGTAGGTGCATAGCAAATACCATGTGGAAACCCTAACTTCCTCCACCTGGTATCCAAATTCCTTAAACAGCAACTTCTATGTTACATGTAACATGTTAGAGTATACATTGTTGTCATGGCAATTTTTCACAGGTTATGATACTAACTAAATAAGGATTGTCAAATATGCTGATTTCTCATCCTCACTTGCACTCTTAGCAATAGGAGTTCCAGAAGCATGACACCATACGTTTCAATCTATAATAATGCAGCAAAAAAGAAACACATTTAAACTGTCAAAATTGAACAGAAATTTACACAAGTATTAACATTTAACGAGACTGTATAATGCAGCAGGTTATGCCAAAAGGAATTCAACTATGGTATGTTCCCTATGGAAAATGTCTAGCTGTGCTCTACAAACATGGACAGAGACTTCTTCTCTCCTGCAAACTTAGCCTGCTATTTACATTTTAGGATTTGGCATAGGAATTTTGCATGCCTTCTAGGTTAAAAATTAGGAGGATTGTATAATGTTGTGTAAACAAGGTTCAATCAATTTCACTGCATAAATCACGTACTCCAGGCTGGAAAAGTGAAGCTACCTTTTGCCTCTGGAAGCTACTGAAGAGATAAGCCAATTGGAAAAAAAGACCACAGAGTACATGAGGCTTTGATATGGTTGTCAGCTTTCAAAATGGCTGGTTTCCTAGGGGTAGCAGACATTCAACAAGCTAAGTCTTCCACAACCACGGAGAAGCAAGAAAGTGGGAAAACATCTTAACAGTAAAAGTGGGACAAAGCCCTTAGGCTCACAAGGCCCTTGAAAGGAAAACAAGAGCCCACAGAAATATTACCTGCCAGCAAGATTCTTTGGTCTGAAGGTGATACTCGGGCCTTGGCCCCCGGGCCATTCAAGTGAGCAGGGGGCGAGAGTGTGAGCCCCTCTCCTCTGCTAAGAAGTGGCCTGCAGCTCCCAGTGACCTTGGTGCGGGAAGATGGGGGGGACATCCCAGCTGTCCCACCCCGGCCTTTCATGCCCAAGGAGAGCAGGCGTCCTTTGTACATCCATTTCTGTAGCTTCCGAACAGTCACAGCAGGTGGCTTGAAGGGGCCTGGGGAGGCGTCTGCTGAGGGGTGCTGGGGACTTCCCTCCTGGCTACACCCGGCTGCTCTTGCTGGATCCACCCTTTTGCCCTGGGCAGCATACAGTTCAGGAGCCAAGAGCTCCTCCAGGTCTTCCCGGAGCCCTGAGGGATGAGCTTCCTGGCTGCTGAAGCTCTTCTCACAGCTGTTGTCGCCAGAGCCCTGGGTGGCAGCTGCAAGGAAGCAGGTTTCCTGGCTGGTGCCAAGCTCTTGAGGTTCCAGGAGCAGGTGGCCAAGGGGCTCCAGTGGCTCTTGAGACAGAGACTGGAGCGCACCTTCGCTCCGACATCTGGGCGGGAGCAGCAGTTTGGAAGTGGAAGGCTGGGCAAAGCAGAGGCTCTCCAGACTCTTGCTGATGCCCTGGCGCCAGGTGGGATTCTCGGCTGAGCCTTGGGCACTGGGATCGGATCTTTGCAACTGGGAGCATCCGTCCCCGCCGCAGGAGAAAGACCAGCGTAAATCATCACTCCCTGCTGCCTCAGAGGCGGGCAGATGGCTAGCAGGCTGGGGCGACGGACCTGCAGTGGTGGGGCTGGCCGGAGGCAGGTCGTGCATGGCGTGGATCAACAGGTAATAGGCCTCCTGGAGCTGGCTTCGCAGTTTGCCGGTGCTCTCTCGCGCTCCGTTGGCTCCGGTGGTGCCGCCGCCTGCACCCGGAACGGCGGCCGCGTCGCCTCGCTTGTTTCCCCGCGCCGCTGCTTCGGGCGTTCGGGCCGTCCCTTGGCAGCCCCAGCCAGGCAGCCTCTGGTTATCGTAATAGTCGTCGTCTTCGCTCCCGCCAGCGCACTCCAGGGCCGGCCGAGGCTCCGCGCCCCTCGGGAAAAAGGAAGACGAGGAGAAGCAGAGTTCGGCCGCCAGCGGAGGCGCGCGGAGTTCCGGGGGGCTCGCCTGCTGCAGCGCCGTGCCTTCCGCGCGCTTTCTCGGAGGGCAAGCGCGGGCCACGGCGGCTCCCGGTAACTTTTCTCCAGGCATCTCCGCCTTTCCCCGCCGGGACCAGGCAGCCGAGTCCCGCAAGGCCGACCCTTCCAGCGGGGACACGAGGAGCACCTCGCAACCGCCCACCTGGCTTCCCAGCCCGGGGCACGCTTGGGTCGCCACTCCGTTTTCCCGGTAGGAGGGATGGAGGAGGTGCAGGTTCCGCTGGGCTTTCCCTCCAAGGGCTCCGACGCTCGTGCTGCAGCTCTCGCCGGGGTCGCCGGCAGCTTCCCCGGCGGCGCCGGTGGCTACTCGCTGCGACCTCCTACTTCGCAGCTTGGAGAAAGTCCTACGCAGAGGGTCAGCCATGCCTGGCCGTCTCCCTCAGTTCCCTGCCGTCGAGCGCAGGGCTGCTGCTGCTGCTTGGTGGCGCCTGGAGCAAAGCGGAGGCGGCGGCAACGACAAGCGCAATAGCTTGGTGCGCGGCTGGCTACAGCACGCCATGATCTAGTTGGTCCTTGGGCGCCTCTCGCTCTTTGCTGCTGCTGCCGCTGCCGCTGCTGCTGCTGCTCGGGCTCACATACTTGGCATAACTGAGCGGGGTGAGAGGGCGCTCTGCAATGCGCATGTCTTACGGCCAGCAGCTGGGCTGGAGCGCTTTTTCCCGGAGCGCACGCGGCCTTGCTTTTCTCGCCCTTGCAGCCCCGAGGCTGCCCAGCCTGAGTCGAGACGTCGGAGAAAAAGAGAGGCCAGGTTTGCCCGGCTCTCCCCCCCCCTCCCCGCTGCCGCCGCCGCCGCGCGCGCGCGACCTCCACACACACACACACATACACGCGCGGGGGCGGGGCGCTGAGACAACTCTTCCAGCCTTCGCCCCTCTCTCGCTTCCCTCTTCCAAACTTAACCCTTTCCTCGGCCCTCGAATAATAAATAAAAGCCATCGGTGCTGAACCCCGGAGAGAAGCCGGTTGGATTCAAGCCGGTTCTTTTCGGTTCGAGAAGCCTCTCCTGCCGCCTTCGATCGCGGCTTGGGGAGAAGAAATGCAACGAAGGGACTTCTTCCCCCCCTGCCGGCACTCAAAAAGTTCTCAAAGTTGAAATGTGCAGCTGACAAAATACCTGCCTCTTATACGGCAGGGAATGAGAGTTAAGAGCAGTGGTTCTCAACCTTTTTAATGCCGCGACCCCCAACCGGTCGTAAGTCGAGGACTAAACCGGTCGTAAGTCGAGGACTACCCAACCGGTCGTAAGTCGAGGACTTTCCCTGCCCGGGAGCGCCGTGCATGCATGGTTCCGTCCCCTGCGCCGGCTGAGGCGTAGCTGGCAAGCGGCAGAGACGGAGCAGGCTGACCACCAGCTGGCCCAGCCCAAGGGAGGTAAGGCACCCGCCGGAAAAGAGGGGAAAAAATGGCGGACAAAAAAAATGGCGGACAGCCTTGCTTGGCGACCCCCGTGAAATGGTCGATCAACCCCAAATGGGGTCGCGACTCATAGGTTGAGAACCGTTGAGCTAGAGGGTCAGTGCAAGAGATCGTTCAGTACTTAATTTTCAAAACATCCAAGTGTCTTGGAGAAGGGCAGCCAGGTAACTTGTTCCCATGGATAAGACGTTACATGTACCCTCCCTCACACGACCCATATATGTATGTGCTCCAATGCGACTCTCACTACTGCGATTAAGAAATGGGACATTTGTTTTCCAAACATTTTATTCAGCTTGCTTGGAGCGACCCAGAAGATTTCTGGGCTTGCGTTATGCAGAAAATAAAGAGGTAAGGTTCAGAAAGTGGGAGTGGTTTTTTCCAACAACAGAGATTTGATTGTGTCCCATCATTTTCGATTCCTAGCTACCATATGGATTTTCTCTGTGACAATCTATCCCTAACCTGTTCTTTCAAGTTTTTGGATGGGGATTGCCATTCTGAGTCCATCCACTTGCTGTTGGTTGTCCTGTTCTCTTTCCTTTTACATTTCCCAGCAGTGGATCGTTTTCCAGACAGCTGGATCTTCACATAATATATCTGAAGAAGGAATGTAAATATAGAGAAAGAGGAAGCCAAATTTCTCCCCCCCCCACCCAGCTGCTCAAATCAGAATAGAATCATAGTTCTTACATTTCAAAATTAAAAAAAAAAAATCAGCCAGCTTTCAAAATCACCTTTTTTGCTCCTAAACATAGTCTATATTCAGTCTCACACTTTGGAATCCACTGTGAATCTGCAACATCCTCTTCTCATTAATCACTATCAGGAAAAGGGTCTCAACTGCCTTTGGTTCTGCCAGAAAGCCTTTTTTCATATTGATAAAGCAGCTGCACAAACAGAGGAGCTGGCTGGGCAGTTACTGTCTCCTGGCCCTTCCTAGGTTAAGTAAGGACACTGTATTGATTAGACAGCATCTCAAAAGGCTGGAATCCTTGTGCCAGAGGAAATTGCAAGGTAAGGACTGAACTGAGTTACAAAAGGAAGTGAATTATACAATAGTAGGAGTGGGCAGGACAAGGCTTTTCCAATTTTCTAGTTTCCTTGTTTTTGTGATGTGTGGGGGGGGAGGGTTGGAATGGAAGACTACAGTAAAAAACCTTTTATTTTGCTGTAATGGTTACTGCTTTGTTGTTTTCCTATGCCAAATTAGGAGAATATTATTATTCCCAAAAGTTAACAGGTCATTTTATGAGGACCAGGCTCTTTCTCTCAAAAAAAAAAAAAGTTCAGAAGCTATATGGCTCTCATTAAATTAAAACTGTTTTCCAGTTGACCTCAAAAATTACAAAAAAGATTAGAATGAAACAGTTATCTGGCAATTGTCAGGGCTATAAAATTATGCACAAACATGTATTTTTGATTTTTTTTATAATTTGGAATGTTTTTGTGGGGAAACAACATATCCATAAAAATATAAAAACAAAAAAATTAACAAAAAACAACATACATCAAGAAAAATATATGACTAGTCTTGTACTCTTTTAACATCTACAAAGAATGTTGTAAAGGAGCTGAGATTGGGTTTTTTTTTCAATATTTTCTCCTTTCTTTAGTGGCATATTCATTAATGCCCTATGCATAGATATCCATAAATGCTGGTAAACCTGTTGCAATGTAATGTAACATGAATTAGACCTAATAAGTACACAGTGTACTATAAACATGATGCAACGATTAGTTCTTCCTGGTATTTAACTTTCAAGCCAGCTTTTCCCTCCCACACCTACACAAAAGAAAGAATCATCAGGTGATGGTGGAGTTTCAGAATGTGCGCGCTTTTTTTGTTTGCTTTTGTGTGAGGATACTAACAAAGAAGACAAACAGATGCAACAGCTGGCCTTGTGTAGCAGCAAATGTGCCATGGAATTGATCACAATGTGGTTTGGAGGAAAAACCTTTTGAACAGGCTTCACAAACTGATCTTAAAAATTCTGTCAGTTGTCTCCCACTGACACAACTTCATCATGGGAGATCATTTGATTGAAAACAACTTTGAAACAGGGTACCAGATGTCCCCTATTTAAAATGGATGGCTATAGAAGCCATTTATAAACACAACATCTTCACAGAACACCCTGTAGCCTGCTGATTTATCTTCATCTGATTGGAACTTTTAATATAAGCTAAAGTGCCAGCTACAAAGAACAACTCGCTTGCCTGAGTTCATTGAATGCTTCTTGAATGGGAATTTTAAAAAAAAAACATAGAAAGGAATTACCTTTAATTTTCAGTGCAAATGAGAAAATAAACCACTTCAAATTGCACTGAGGAATCATGAGATTGGATAACTTATTTTTAACCCGCATATGTATGTGAAAGAGTGATCATTTGAATGAGTAGCAATCATTCAGACCTACCAGCTGAAGCTGATGTTTTTGATAGCCACATGAAGGTGTTTCTCTCCTGTCATAGGAAATATATAAATATAAATTGTGCTGGTCCAAGAGCCTGTCTTTACCATGCCTGCACAATGAAAGTAGGCAGTGTGGCTGGTCTCACTTAATGTGGGGAAGGTCAGGATTGCAATTAGTGGATTCTCTGCCAATTTTTTCACCTACTCACACAATGTCACCAAACATAAGAATTGCTTTTCTGAATATGTGCTACAGCAGGATTGGGCTTCCAAGCCTTAGTTTTTACTTTTGCATGCTTATTTTAACACAACTATTGATCTCTCATAAGACTGAGGTCCTATGAAATTACTTTCTGGATGCTGAAATCTACAGGTTATCAAGATTATTGCAGGGCCTGGGAGTTTGATAGTTCTCTTAAATAAATAAATGCCGGTAGATTGATAAACCCATATCAAGGAGGCCCCCTCCAGAAAAAAAAATATCTGCCTGAATTATCAGAAAACCTCAAAAAGCAGAGGAACCCAAAACAGAGATCCTGCAATATTCTTCTGCCCTTTCTTTTCTTTCTTCATCTCCCTCTTGAAGTCAATTTCCCTGGGATTCATTTTTGCTCATGTGTGTTTTGCTTGTGAGTGTATGTCCTATGTACTTTCCATACTTTAGAGCAGGGGTCTTCAGACTTGGCCCTTTTATGATTTGTGGACTTCATCTCCCAGAATTCCTCAGCCAGGCACGCTGGCTGAGGAATTCTGGGAGTTGAACTCCACAAATCATAAAAGGGCCAAGTTTGAAGACCCCTGCTTTAGGGTCTTCCCAACACACACACACACACACACACAAATGCCCAATCAGCATGGGATTTCAAGCTGACAGATCTATCTCAGTCTTCTGGGATTTTGATAGTCCAGTGTAAAGAGAATGGTATGTCTTGTAATCAAAATACTCAAGGAGGGACGTTTCCAAAAAAATACTTGCTGGGCCAACCGGAGCTCAGTAGATTATTGTCCTATCATTTACTTATTTAAAAATGTATATGACCAACTGTCTTACAACACACAATTCATGACAGCTCACAATAACATTAAATAAAAACAGCAAACTAATCCAGCAACCCCACTTATCTCAAAGCTCAGCACTGGAACATCATATAGTCATGCTCTTAACATTTGCTGGGTTCATTTCTATCCTAGGTCTTCACAACCCTCTGAAAGTCAAATAGAGGAGGACTCTGAATCTCAGGGGGAGAAGCTGTTCTAAAGGGCCAGGATAGCCACAGTGTCCCAAGCTTGTCCTCAAAACTCATTAGATTGTTCTGATAGGACGTTTTGTGCTGGGAGAAGAAGAAAAACATTCTTTCCAAACCAGAACAATTAAAAATGATTCTAGGCTGCTTAGAATGTTTTTTTACATTGACAGAATACAGCTTAAGAAGGAATTGCTGTCTGGAAAAAAAAAAAAAAGAACACGATCCAGGTAAAGTTAAGCATTTTTGCTTGATTCCAGTAAGAAAGTTCAGCACATTTAAATTATT